ACCCCACAGGATGGAGAGGGGAGTGAAAGGGGAGAAGTTGGCACTCTGAAATCACTTTCTGGTGTATGTCCTTCTGGGGCACCAAGGGATAAGAAAAGTTTCTAATGAAAGGAACTCTCAAAAACTTAGAAAGCAACTGAAGAACAGAACAAGCAGAACCTGAGCAGTGAGTTCTTAGGGAGTCGACAGATAACATCTGCTGCCAGCTGCAGTCCCCTCTCCTCCATAAGCCAGCTTAGCCATGCCTTAAGGACAGCACCGTAATCCTTGTCACTAATAGTTCACATTCTTAAGATTAATTTATTTTTCCATGTATGGGTGTTTGTCTGCTAGTAAATCTGTGCACTACATGGTGCCTGTGGAGACCAGAAGAAGGCATCCTATCCCCTGGAACTCGAGTTAAACAGGTATGAGCCTCCATGTCGGTTCTGAGGATCAAACCTGGGCCCTATAGAAGAGCAGTCAGAGCTCTTTAACTATTAAACCATCTCCCCAGCCTTTGTAGTATACATTCTTATAGTTTATGTATTTTCCATATACATACATATTAGTATAATTAACATACATCAAGTATAATTAGAATAATATACTTTAAGTTTCAGAGAATGGGATACAATAAAAAGACTTACTAATGATAAAAGCTAGACTCAAAACAATTTTTTACCTCATCATCTGGGTCCTTTGGGGGACCCTGTAGGGGTTTATATTCAGGATCTTCACAATCCTTATCAAAGTCAATCCTAGAAGTATCCAGAAACAAAGAAAAAGATAATATGTGTTCTGTCACTAGGAGATCTCGCCAAGTATACAATTCAACAAACAATACTCTTTAATTTCATGCTTTAAGGAATGGAGGGTGGGGGTGGGGGAGGACAAGCTTCAAAACTAGTTATGTTCAGAACCTCTCCTAGGGAAATAATTAGAAGTTGACAAAGTACAAATCAAAATTGCCTGACTTGGACAAACAAAAATTTTAACCACTTTTTAAAGTAAGTTTTTATGTGTATGAGTGTTCTGACTGCATGCATGCCTGTGTGTACTATGTGAGGAGCTGCAGACGGTAGTTACCATGTGGATCCTGGGAACTGAATCTGGGTCCTCTTGAAGAGCCACTGTGTTCTTAGCCTCTCAGCATCTCTATTTCTCTGGCCCTAACTTTTTAGGACAAAATCTTGCCGAATGGTTGCCAAGGCTAGTCTTAAATGGACAGGCTCACATAATCTTTCTGATTTAAGCCTCCAGACTACCTGGACTACTGGACTACCTGGACTACATGCCATCATAGCTAGTAGGAAGTCAAACACTCTAATCCACACACTTCCCTTTTTATTGTTTAATTATTTTGTTCTTCCCTCACAACTATTTACCATTTATTCATTTTTACATAGCTTATGTGTTTTTAATTTTATGTACATTGGTGTGAAAGTGTCAGATCCCCTGGAACTAGAGTTACAGACAGTTGTGAGGTCTCATGTGGATGTTGGGAACTGAACCTGGGTCCTCCAGAAGAGCAGAAAGTGTTCCTAACTACTGAGCCAACTGTGTTAGTTAGTTTTATATCAACTTGACATAAGCTAGAATCATCTGAGTAGAGGAAACATCAATGGAGAAAATGCCTCCATAAGACCAGACAGCAGGCAAGCCTGTAGAACATTTCCTTTAAGGTAGTAAAGATGGAAGAGGGCCCAGTCCACTCTGGGTGGACTGCATCCAGGCTCTTGCCTTGCTTGAGTTCCTGCCCTCAGAGCTTTTGATAACTATTACATGAAATTGTGAGCAAACTAAACCCTTTCCTAAGTTGCTTTTGGTCATGGTGTTTCACCATAGTAATCCTAACCCCAACTAAGACACCATCTCCACACCCCACCACACCCTATTCATATTTTTTAAGATGTATTAATTTTCTCTATTTTGCTTGTAAGCAGAAGGGTGACAGAATGATTTGCAATGAATACATTTCTTTTGGTCCTATACCAACCAAAATAAAGATGTGATCAACAGTCTTGGCTGTGCCAAAATTTATAGTCTTAAACAAAACTCATCATTGCACAATGTCCCTCAGGTCTCCACATGAGAAGTTTTGTTAAACTCACTGGCACCCAAACCAGGGCAACACTGCCCTACCTGGTGACTCAGTATTAGCATGGCAACTCATCATTGGGACATATTCCCAGGCAAAATGAGTACTTTTATGTGTCAGATACCATAGGGAAAAGACAAGTTAGGGCTAAAACTATCTAAAGCTCTGCAACATAAGTAACCTATGAAAACTGCTGTCTATATATATATTTTTTAATAGAATTACTTTATCTTCCCAGTTACTATATTATATAGGTATACAGAGATCACTGTATTTATACAGTGAGAAGGTTTACCTTCTGGGAATAACACAGATCTTCACCCATAGTTATGGCAAAGTGGATTTAGGCCAGTGTCTGAACTCCAATCTGCTGGACCCACTCTTGAGTAAGAATTTACCACACAAAGAAATAACCACCATTAAGAATCCTAGTAATGGGCCAGGCATGGTGGTATATGCCTTTAATCCCAGAACTCAGGATGCAGAGTAGGTAAATCTCTGAGTTTGAGGTCATCCTGGTCTACAAAGCAGGTTACAGACAGCCAGAGAGACCTGGAACAATTTGAGACCCTGTCCCCAAACAAAAACAAAAATAAAAATAAAGCAAAGCAAAAAGAAATCCTACCACCAGTCAAAGCTAGAGTTATGTACTATCAGTACAAGCAACACAGAGCAGATACAGAGGTAAACACCCATGCTTACCCTTCTACCAGGTCGGAGAAATTATCCAATACTCTGTGTTCCGCTGCAATGGCTTTGTCATCTGGCCTCCCAGCTTTTTCCAGGAAGCACAAGGCAGGGTCTGCCCTCATGGTATTGTATTTTTCATAGCCTAGAAGAACAAGGGCCATAGATTAAAGAAATTCAGATTTATTTTGTCTGTGCTTCTTTTATATACTGTTAGAGCCATTAGATTATGTGGGCTTCCTTACTCATAATAAAAAATGTAATTTGGATAAGTGTTACTTGTACTGTATTTATAATTTTTATAGTCTTCATGTAGTGATTGACAATAATTTAATCAATAACTCATCTTAAGGTGACTGGTCTATATAGTCATTTAAATGATAGTCACCATTCTTAGTACAGAGATGAAGAAAGTAGTAGTCTAATAATCTATGGGTTTTGTCACACACTCTCAAATGAAAAACAAGAAACATACTTGAAAGTAAAAAAATTCTCAGTGTGTATTTATACTGAACTCTTTTAAATTAAATTTCTGTGTCTTACTAGTAAATCGATGCCCACTCTTTCTTTTCTTTTTTTTGGATATAGGGTCACTTTGTCCTGGATGGCCTGGAACACATGAGATCTGCCTGTCTCTGTATCCCAGTGCTGGGATTAAAGGTATGCATCACCATGCCTACCTAGCTCACTTTTTTATTCCATTAGATTTCTCAAGAACATGTAAATAAACACCTTTATTTTAGGAAGTAAACAAAAAAGTATGGTTAAGAAGATACATTGAAATACATCAAAGGATGAAGTTAATATTTACTGATGTTAATGCCTGGAATTTCTTATTAGGCAAATACTACTAAGAAATTAGTACTCACTGCTACCTCAGACCACTAAACCTTTCGACAAGTGAGACATTTACATAAAAAGGATTGTTTGAACATGCCTTAAGAAAAGTCACTGGAATTAAGTATGACTATTAACAGGGCTTGACATATATTACTTCTTCTGACTTGCAGAGTATTAATGTAGATCCCATAATACACAGGGAGGTAACATTATAGGCACCATGGTTAGAGGACAGACAAAGGATTCCTGCCTTTGATTTAGCTGCCCATCTGGAATTCCTTAAACATTTGATTATAGAACTAACTAGTTTGCCACAGACATTTAAGAACTAATTTCTTACATAAACATAAAATTTCTGGTGACTGAATTTATAACAAACATTTTGTTAAATGTATTATTGCTTAGCACACATCTTCAATACAAAGCAATATGGGAGAAGGTACCTACCATGCTTAAAAACGCCAATGAGCAGAGATTTGTCAGCCTCACTATCCCACCATGTTGTTGGAACCTCCAGCTGATCCACTACTGGGAACCATATGTCAATCTCACTAAATGTGGAAGTCAGTAAAGCAATGTTAGAAATAGAAATAGAAGTGATAATCCTTCAAAAGATTATTAAAGGTCGCTTGTTTTATACATTAAGTGCTTATGATTCTGCCAAATTACCATGAACTAGTGCTAAATGTAGGAGTAAAGGTCTGGCATAGAGATCTTAATTATCAGCTATCTCAAAGACAGTATAAAAAGAATTAAGCAAATCAGTCACTCCTGGGTTAAGGAAGGAAATAAAATACAAGAATGAATAAATAAAGAGGGAGGCTATCGAGATGGCTCAGTAGATAAAGGCACTTTCAGCCAGGCCCAATAACCTGAGTTCAGTCCCTGGGACCCAACCAGGAGAGAAACTTCCCTGGCAACTTTTCCTGTGAGTGTCACATGGATGTTGTGCATGTCCCTGTCCTCCCACAACACAAAATAATAGACAGTCAGACAGATGAATGAATGTATGTTAAATAAAGAAAGGAACTTTACCTGGCTATGGCACCCCCTAACACCTTCTCTGCTTGGTCTCCAATAACCTCCTGTCTTAGGTAGTACAGCATCCGTACTCTCAACAGTACCCTGAAGGGACAGAGTGATACCTTAGCAACAGTGTAACAAACCTTAATGGGGACTCATCTGAATAGCATTCTTACTTGTTACACTGATGTTTCAAATGCTTCTTATAACTCTCATCTTGGAACAGAGTATCAGGGTTGTATTTCCGGATCCAGTCTGCCTTATGAATGTCAAAAGTACTTTGTGACTTTACTTTTTTCCCCTTACGTCCTCGGGGCACAGGGATAGACAGACCTGGAAAAGGGGAGACATCGAAGACTTGGATTGAGAAAAACCCTGACACCTGAAAAGGACTAGACACCCTGTAGAAAAATAAAAAGGTAGGAGTTGATAATTACCTGAATGATTCTGCAATTCTTTTGTCTTGCCATTTTCAGCAGGGCTAATCAAGTCCCAAATGAAGCTTTTGATGTTTTCATCCCCACGGTAGTGTAGAAGACAGTATACAAGGATGGCACGGCATATTGTCTCCACATCTCTTTCAGTCATGCGTCGCTTAAATCGTCCATGAGACAAAATATCTCTCCACCGTCCCCAACTAACAAAACAGGAAAAGCAAACACAAATATTTTGGGGGGAGATTCAAATTTATTGACATTTCCCTGGCTCCCAGAATTGTCATCTGCTCCAAAAGCAGAAGAGAAACAGAAGCTCCCTCATAGGCAAAGTATCTTTTATGTGATGCTTCTTGCCTACATAGTCCATTATGAAAGTCAACAGTCAGGAGTCAGTCAGCATGCAGATGCCCTACTGTTCATGGCAAGTTGCATTCTTACCCATATACCAGGAGATGTTTTTCTACCCGAAAGCAGTCAGTGCGCCCATAGGTGTGATGACGGTCATGTCTTCGGGAACGTGGCCGTTCATCATCTTCACTTTCCAAATCAGAAAACTCAACCAGGTCGTCATCTTTCAGAGTGCTGAAGTGTCGAGTTTGTTTCCGAACTCGAGGTGTGTCAATCACTAAGTTATTCTATATAGAAAAAGGATATATAAGGATATGATAGGACATAATCTTAAATACAAGTTATCAAAGTACTGAGATTTTTAGACCATGTAAAACAATCTACATGGCTCAGGAAGAAAAAGTGGCTGACATCTGTGGTAGTTTAAATAAGAATGGCCCCTGCAGGCTCATAGTTTTGAATGCTTTGTCACTGAGAAGTGGCACTATTAGGAAGGATAAGGACATGTGGCCTTGTTGGAGGAAGTGTATCACTTGGGATGAGCTTGATAGTTAAGAGCTTAAGCCAGGCCAAGTGTCTCTCTTTTCCTGTTGCCTTTGGATCCAGATGAAGAACTCTTTTTTTTTTTTGTTTTTTTGTTTTTCGAGACAGGGTTTCTCTGTGTAGCCCTGGCTGTCCTGGAACTCACTCCAGATGAAGAACTCTTGAGCTACCATGTTTGCCTGCTGACCACCATGTTTCTTACCATGATAATAATGGATTAAACCTCTGAAACTGTAAGCAAGCACCAATGAAATACTTTCCTTTGTAAGAGTCGCTGTGGTCATGGTGTTTTTTTTTTTTTTTGGTTTTTCGAGACAGGGTTTCTCTGTGTAAGCCTGGCTATCCTGGAACTCTGTAGACCAGGCTGGCCTCAAACTCAGAAATCCACCTGCCTCTGCCTCCCAAGTGCTGGGATTAAAGGCGTGCGCCACCACTGCTTGGCAGGGTCATGGTGTTTCTTCACAGCAAGAGAACAGTAACTAAAACAACATATAAGTTCAGACAGGGTTTCTCTGTGTGTCCTGGCTGTCCTGGAGTTCAGAGATTAGCCTGCCTCGGTCTCCTAGGTGCTGGGATTAAAGACATGCACCACCACCACCTGAATAACATCTAAATATTTTTAGAGGGCATCTGAGGTTAAAAAAAAGTCTCCAAAACCTTTGCGTATAATACTGCACCCTAAGCTTCAGATAGCATTAAAGAGTTGGAACTGCTCAAGAGCACAAGTACTTTTGTCTTCTACAGCACCTCCCCACAAAGGAAACGTAAGCTCACCTTACTATTCAGCAGATCCATGTCTAGGTCTGCCTTTTTGGCCCATTTTTGCCAAAAGTTTGGATCATCCAGGGAAATATCTGTCCTATTTTCAGAAGCAACAAAGCTTGCCTATGGAGAAACAAATATAGAATAAAATTAGCTACAATGCTTTTATGCACACTGGGAAATTAACAAGTATTTAAAATCATTTAAATCTTGGGAGGTTGCTGTCTTCACCTCTGTCTGCCCACATAGGATCTGCCACAGAATGTACCTTGGCAAAAGTAGACCCTTTCCCTTCAGACTCAATTGTGATGGTTGTGGTCCGTCTCAGCAAGATCTGATCTATGTCCTCCTCGCAAAACTTAGAACCCTCATCATCTTCTTCCATTATGGCCGCATAAGCACCTTTCCTTAGGAGATCTTCAATCTCTTTCTTGGAGAACTGTTGAATCTACAAAATTCAAGATAAAGATAAAAAAGCTTACAAAAAGAATAAAGTCTTGTTGACATTTTATTGTACTGTAAGAAATAATCATCAGTACAGTTATTGATAATCTAAACAAGGTAATCATATTTTTGTGCAAAAATTGCATTTGGGCTGATAAGATGCCTCAGCAGGTAAAACTGATGTAATGCAAGCCTGGTGACTGAACTCCATATCCAGAGCTCACTCACGTAAAGGTGGAAGGAGAACTGACTCCACAAGCTGCCCTGACTCCTATATGTGCATGCACACGTGCACAAACATACACCCAGTACTAAGTCTTAAGTAATTGCTTTTCTCTCCTTCCATTATTATGAATCAGCAACAACTTATCTACAGACTTACTCCAGTAATGTTGCCATCCCGACCACTCATGGACTGAAGCACAGCTTTATCCAATCCCAACTTGAGACTAGCTTTATCAAACATCTCTCTCTCGTAGGAATTACGAGTGATGAGTCGGTACACCTTCACAGCTTTGCTCTGTCCAATTCGATGACAACGTGCTTGGGCCTGGTTAAAAAGAGAATAAAGAAACACAAAATATTAGGTCTTAGTTCTTCACACTCAAACACTCAAAACCAAGTCAATTTCAAAAAAGAATTTCTGCCACATCTTGAGGAATGGGAATTAGCAAACTAGCTTGTGTGTTTATCTTTTTCTATAAATGAAATTTATTTCAAACACAGACCCATTCATTTACATGTTGTCCATTGCTATTTTGTGCCAAAGGAGCAGAAGTGAGTAGCTGAAACAAACAACAGACTCCAAAGCTTACAACATTTTGTATTAGTTTTTTGTTGTTGTTGTTGTTGTTGTTCAAGACAGGGTTTTTCTGTATAGCATGACAGTTCTAGAACTCACTCTGTAGTCTAGGCTGGTCTTGAACTCAGAGATCTGCCCAAGGCATACACCACCATCACCTTTATAGGTTCTTAAACCATGTTAGCAGACTCCTGATCTCGCTGCCACCTCTATGTCAACAATTTCCTCATCCTTGTAAGAAGGGTTTTTCTAAGATCATAATCTTATTAAAAACCTCTTGGATTAGGCAGGTAGTTGGTAAAAGAATAATTTCCTTTACCTGAAGGTCATTCTGTGGATTCCAGTCTGAATCAAAGATAATACAGGTATCAGCAGCTGTAAGATTAATACCAAGTCCACCAGCACGGGTACATAACAAGAAGACAAAGCGGTCTGAGTCAGGCTTGCTAAATCGGTCAATAGCAGCTTGTCGAAGGTTGCCTCTAACTCGCCCATCAATACGTTCATATAAGTACCTGTTGAAGTGGGGCAGGGTGTCATAAGGGGAAAAGTGGCTAAGTAGAAGATGTGCCAAGCAAACATTCTACTACTGAGCTATACCCCAACTATGCTTGAAGCTTTATGAAGTTACAATAACCATAAGACATTTTAGAATGACTCATTTCCTACCTCCTCTGGATCAGATAATCCTCCAGAATATCTAGACATCGTACCATCTGGGAGAAGATCAGAACTTTATGGCCACCAGCTTTAAGCTTTGGAAGTAACTTGTCAATAAGAACTAATTTGCCAGCTGACCGAACCATGGCTTGCAGGTGGAAATCTTGAGGTATAATATGGCAAGCTTCCCGAAATTCCATCAGGATTTTCTCTTCTGCACCTGCAAATGAAATAGACAAAGTTAATGTTGGGAATAAATGAAAACACACAGTGGCTGGAAGTAAATATTCAAAGAAAGAAGTAGCATGATCTCTTTTTCGTTGTCCCCTTCTTCCACAGCACATGGTTTCTCTGTGTAGCCCTGGCTGTCCTGGAACTCATTTTGTAGACCAGGCTGGCCTCAAAACTCTCAGCAATCTGCCTGCCTCTGCCTCCGGAGTGCTGGGATTAAAGGTGTGCCACCATACCCAGTTAAGTAGTATAATCTTTTACCCTCCCTTCTTCCTTCCCTCTCTTGACACACACACATACATACTAGCTCTTGCACGCCCATGTGGATTTGAGCCCAGGAGTGTGCCCAAGTTCCCTCAGGAGCCAAGGTAGGATGTCAGGTATTCTGCTCCACCACCTCATGCCGTCATCTACTGACAGAGGGTTGCATATGGAACAACCTGGAGCTAGGTCAGCACCTGACACACCCAGCAGTCCTCCTATTTCTATTCCAAGTGTCATTTAAGGTGTGAGTGGCTATGCCCAATTGTTTATATAGGTACTGGGAATTCAAATTCGTGTCCTGATGCTTGTGCAGCAAACGTTCTTGTCTACCTCCTCTAACAGTAATATCGACATTTCTCACAAAAAGTTCAGCAACAAAATATCCAAACTAGGGGCTGGAGAGATGGCTCAGCGGTTAAGAACACAGACTGCTCTTCCAGAGGTCCTGAGTTCAAATCCCAGCAACCACATGGTGGCTCACAACCATCCGTAATGAGATTGGATGCCCTCTTCTGGTGTGTCTGAAGACAGCTACAATGTACTCATCAATAAAATAAATAAATAAATATTAAAAAAAAAATATCCAAACTAATCTTCTATCCTTCTATATAAAACATTGTAAGGCAGGGTTTTCCCGAATAAACTGAATTTTAAGAATATGTAAATAACACGGACAAGAACTAAAATAGAACATACCTGTTCCCACTCCAAATGCAAAATGAAGTGTCAGTAAGAAACTTTATCCAGAACAAAGAATAACTTGAGTTATTACTCATGAAATTGTTCATAGAAAATCATATTCAATTTGGGAGATTATGTAGGACCAAGGAAATAGAAACGATAACAGAGGGGTTGGCAAGATAGCTCAATAGATACAGGTACTTGCTATGTAAGCCTGGCAACCAGAGTCTGATCCCTATAACCCACAGGAAAGTAGAAGGAGAGAACAGACTTTACTGTGTTGTTCTCTCAACTCCACATGGGTGCTGTGGCACGCAAACACACACAACAGCTAAAACATAAAATACTCAGAAATATTTAGGTTAAGATAACTAAGCATCTTGTTTTTGAAAAGAGAATCCTTTCCTAAGCCACTGCCCATACCCCAGGTATGGCTCAGCCAAGCACTGCTCTCTCTAAGGCAGACCCCCTCACCGTTGATGAGGTAGGGGTGGTTGCAGCACTTGCGCAACTCCATCATCGTGTTCAGAAGATTAGGCATATTGGTGTGACCTGCCCCTTTGGAAAGGAAGGAAAAATTCTTCTCTAAAATAGCTCTGTAGTATTTCTTCTGGATGTTGGTTAGCTCTACTTCAATAATAGTTTCCTGTTTGGGAGCCAAATTTTTTTCAACATCCTCTTTGAGTCTTCTCAGCATCATTGGCTTTAGAATGGCCTGAAGCTTCTGAACCTGTGGATCATTATAAAGAGGAAAAGAAATCACTAACTTTACATTGTGTCATAAAAAGAAAAAGAAATCAATAAGATTATATAGAAACACAGAAAAATAGTGAAGACTATAGCTAATGCTACAAGAGATATGGACAAAACCTCAGGAAGGTAATACCTCATCAGACATGCCTTACCTGCTCCTCTGTCTTGAGATCCCCAAAATCCTTAAGAAATTCTGATTCTGAGGGGAACTGAGAAGGTTCCAAGAAATGAAGTAGGCTGAACAGTTCCTCTACAGTATTTTGTAATGGTGTTCCTGTGAGTAATACTTTATGTTCCTGTAAGTGAGGAGACAGAATTTGCAGAGATCCCATCAAGTATACAGTTAATTTTAGTTTATCTTCTGGTAATGAATTAAATTTCTGTCTTAACTTTTCTTTTTCTTGCTTACTGATTAACAAAAGCCATTTAAGAAATGCCCTTATCTAACATATTGAAGCTAAGTAAATACTGACTTAAGCCAAATAAAGTATTAGTTACTCAGATTACACTATTTCTGAATTCATGTCTCTCCATATTCAACTATGTGAAGAAATCCTAATACAACTCTCTGTGGAATATTTCTGTGATGGACTAAAGAAACTATAATTTCTTGTAGTAAGGGTCACCTCTTGAATTCAGGCTTCCCTTTTGGCTAGCTCTGACAAAAGAATGC